GGGGGGGACGAGGGAGGGCCCCAAGCCGTTGTGCGCGCTGTGTGGGGTGTGGGGGGGGGGCAGGAAGAGGGTCGGTTATGTAACCTCACGGGTGGGAGGGGACGAGTTCTGGAGAGGCTAAATGAGGGAGGGGCACCCCAGCTCATGCCCAGGGCCGCAGGTGCCATAGGGGGCAGGACAGGACCCCGATTGGGTCCAAAAGTACCTTAAAACCTTCTCCTGGAGGAAAGGTTATCCCATGCAAAGTTTGGTTGCGGTAGCTCGTATAGTGTCCAAGTTATTAGCACACAAACATTCTCCTTTATATATTAGATAGGGTGGACAGATGTGGTGGAAGAAAATCAGATTCTCTGTCTATGTGGGGCACAGGCCAGCAGTTAGGGAGGTGGCGGGCAAAGGTTGGGGAGGAGCGGGGTGCTATCTATGTGGGGCACAGGCTGGCAGTTAGGGAGGTAGCGGGGGAGGTATGAGGAGGGGCAGGGCATCGTCGGTTGGGGAGGAGCGGGGTGCTATCTATGTGGGGCACAGGCTGGCAGTTAGGGAGGTAGCGGGGGAGGTATGAGGAGGAGCGGGGCATCGTCTGTGTGGGGCACAGGGTGACTTTTAAGGAGGTGGCGGGGAAGGGCGGGGAGGAGCGGGAAGCTGTATGCGGCGCAGGGTGGCAGTTTGGGAGGTGGCGGGAGAGGGGTGGGGAGGAGCAGGGCACTGTCTGTGTGGGGCACAGGCCAGTAGTTAGGGAGGTGGTGGGGAAGGGGGGTGGCAGCGTGCAAAAGAGCCAAACGTACTCTCCCTTCCTCCTTCTCTCTCTCCATACCTTGTGTCTGGCCCGGCACCATGAGGTTTAACTGTTAATTCGAAGTAAGGGGTTTATTTCGGAATCGCCCTTCTCTGCTGCATGTAGACGCAGGCAGTTATTTTGGGCTAGTCAATTTCCAAAATGGCGACAGCACGGTAACATGCTAATGAAGCACGGGATATTTAAATCCTGCACTTCATTTGCAATTTCGGTCATCCTCATTAGCCTCCTTACTTCGAACTAGGGGGCTAGTGTAGACGTACCCTTATAGAGTCCAAGTTATTAGAGCACAAACATACAAACATTTTCCTTTATATATTAGATGGAGTTAATTCTGTACAAACTTTCTACAAATCAGCAGTTGTGATCTCTGCTATGAAACTGACCTAAGAATTGTATCCATATCTGTGTGTATAATGATATTTTAACCACAGTACTCTCTGTCCTTTCTTTTAAAATAAATCTGATTTTAGTATATTTATTATACTATACTAATATTAGTACATATATTTAGTATATATTTGGGTAAGATTGGACATACTCATTGATCTGGTGGGTAATGTGTCTGATCTCTTGGGATTGGTAGAACTTTATAGATGGTGAACAAGATTTTACATAATCCTTGTCATATTTGACAAGGCTTTGTGGAAGCCCAGGGGACCTGCATTTTCATTTCTGGATAACCAGCCAGGTATTGTAGAAACTTTTTTTTCCTGGCTAGGAGAATCTAATTTATTAGAATAACCATTTATTTAGGGGATTGTTGGCCCCATTCCTTGCAGTTTGTCCTGATTGACCATGGCCCATCTAGTAAACATGGTTATATAGACGAAAAGGGACCATTATGATCATCTATTGTGATCTCCAGCACATTACAGGTCAAAGAAACTTACCCAGCCACTCCTGTAAAAGACCCCTACCCTCTGGCTGAGCTACAGAACTCACATTGTGGTTTACAGACTTTATATTACATAGACGTCACCATTTACAGTAGGTGTTGCTGGCAAGAGTAAGTCTCAGATCCTACACTGGGTTCTCAAAGTACAAAAAAAGCTGGGCAAAACCTACACATGACCCATGCTCCCTGCTACAGAGGAAAACTCCCTTATGCTCTCTGCTAATCTGACCTGAAGAAAAATTTCTTTCCAGCCCCAAATATGGTGATCAGTTAGACCTGGACCATGTGGGCAAGACCGACCAGACAGCTATCTGGGAAAGAATTCTCCGTAGTAACTCAGCTTTACCTCCCGATTTAGTGTACCATTACTGACCATTGGAGACATTTGCTAGAGGCACAGACTGGCTACATTGTAGGCAGTCTTATCATACCATTCCCTCCACAAACTAATGAAACTCAGTTTTTCAGTTATCATTATGGATACTAACAATTCTAATAATGTGTTATAAACTGAATGTTTCACAGCTGGCATTTAAAACAGTAAAGAAAACTACTACTGGGACATACCACCTATTCCCTCAAGTAAAATAAGTTACACCCTCAAAATACTAAATTTCCAAAAGTTTTGAAAGGAAACATTATATGCCAACAACCTAAATTTAAAAGACCACTTAAAATGCACATGCAGTGTTACTGACAGGACAATTTTAATGGATAGCATTGTGTCAGAAGACACGAATCAGAGGAAGATAATAAATACAAAAAATACAAGTACCTATGCAAGGGAAAACGGAAAGAAAGTAATATGAACATATGACATGAAAATAGCATAGAGAGCAAAAATATGTATAGAAGCTCGGACATACGTATTGTATGGGTGATATGGATTGGAGGGAAGCTAATGAAAATATAACGTGAAAATGTATAAGAAAGCGAGTTAGTGATGGCTGAAGTCAGAGGAATACCAGATGAGAAGGTGAAGGAACCAAGCCATAGACAGAAAAAACCCATTATGAAATGTGGGTGAGCTTCCCATTATGGCAGAACTTGGCAAGCTGGGCCCCCTACTGCTTTCTTCTTGTCTGTTTCTTGTTGACATCAGTATCTGTCAAGAAACTGCCAGTGACAACAATTCTGTCTGAATATTTCTAAATAAAGGCAACAATGGATTAACCCTACATTGGGTGCACTTGTCACTGTTGCAATGCCAGGGCCTGATGTTACTGATCTCCACAAGTTTCCTGCTCATCAAGGCAAGAAAGTTATACCTAAAACTTGCTTTTGTTCAGATTCTGATTTGAGTAAAAATGTTGTCAGGCCGAAATGATTACATATTTGCTTACTCAATGAACATATTCCTTTTGTCCTTCCTGCTCTCCAAAATCAATTCCCCACTGCTAAAAAGAAAAGAAAATATTTATAAGGATTGAATCACCAGTCACTGACACACATGCAAATCAGCTGTAATGTAATGTTAAAATGCATAAGAACTCAAGGTAGCAATGGCTGAAGTCAGAGGAATGCCAGATGAAGTGAGTAGGGTAATATTGGTATAAAACAGAAGAAAGCAGAAGACTCAGACGGATCTTTCTCTCTGGTTCCTTTTATAATTTTTAATAACCAGGAGAGGATTCATCTCCCACATTTGGTTAAAGATTCCTCAGACCTGACGAAGGGCCTGGTGTAAGCCCCAAGTTTGTCTCATTCATCCACAGAAGTTCATCCAGTAAAAGATATTACTTTTCCCACCGTGTCTGTCTAATGCCTTTTACCCACATGACTGCAACTCCATTTCATAAACAATTAATTTGTCTTAAAATCAGGGCAGATGCTGGACACATTTGTTGTGTCAACCCTCTGAGTATAGAGAACTGGAACAATTTTATATACGGTTTATGTATATAAATCCCAGAGGGGTGAATAAAGCCATTCAATGATCAGTATTAAGCTCTTTCAAAATCCTGCTTTGGTTAGAAACAACCACCCGTCTTCACAATGATTAATCTCTCCAGTTCAGAGAAAAGTCTTAAATTCTGTGCAACTGAAACATCAAACACTTGAAAGCAAAATCACTTTTACTTACCAATGATAGGAAGATTAGCCCAGGAAAGGTCTGATTTGTGTGTGTCAGACAGCTAGGATTGCTGCTGAATTTTTTCTCTGATTTAGCAGTATTTGCTTTCTTACCTACGCAACAGGACCCAGTGACAATAGGGCCCTCACACCCTCTGTATGGCATGTGGCTCTTGTGAACCTTTGAGCCTTTTGGGTTATCAGTTATAGCAGTCTGCAAAATGTACTATCATATTCTCCTGTGCATATAGCTATCTATTAACCAGACACCAGCAAATTCGTGAACAATTTTATTGGAAAGAAATACAGGTCAGTTAGTCATGATGTCACTGAATCTGTGACAAGCTGGGCAGGTAACAATGGGATCTGCTTCTACAAAAAGCATAAATCCAAATATTAATGATCATGCGTTGTGGTAATAACTACAGTTTAATGGAGGCGTTTTAATTTAATCCCTAGTTTTGTTCTTGTGTTTTTGCCTTTCACTACAGGATGGCTTGTCTGCTGGCATTGATTCACTTCATCCATTCCCTACTATGTATTCCTTACTTAGTCATTGTTGGAACCTCACTCTCTCCTTGTCTCACGAGACTCACACCATGGTTCAGTCTCCTGAGGACTGAAATGCTTTAGTCTAAGCAATGATTGGGTTAAGCATGGGAGTAACTTGGTGAAATATAATGGCCTTCGTCATGGGGTCAGGCTAGATCAGTGATCATAGAAACATAGACTCATAGAGCTGGAAGGGACCTCAGGAGGTTGTCAAGTCCAGAACCCTGCCCAAGGCAGGACCAATCCCAACTAAATCAACCCAGCCAGGGCTTTATCGAGCTGAGACTTGAAAACCTCTAGGAATGGAGATTCCACCACCTTCCTAGATAATTCATTCCAGTGCTTCAGCAACCTCCTAGTGAAATAGTTTTTTTACTAATATCCAACCTAGACCACTCCCACTGTAATTTGAGACCATTCTTCCTCCTCCTGCCATCCATCACTACTGTGATCAGCTTTTCTCCACTGGAAGCTCCCTTCAGGAAGTTGAATGCTGCTATCAAATCCCCCCTTACTCTTCTCTTCTGAAGACTAAACAAATCCAGATCCCTCAGCCTCTCCTTGTAGGTCACGTGTTCCAGCCCCCAATCATTTTGGTCACCCTCTACTGGACACTCTCTAATACATCCACATCCTTTCTATAGTGGGGGGCCCAGAACTGGACACAATACTCCAGATGTGGCCTCACCAGAGCCAAATAAAGGGGAATAATGACATCTCTGGATCTGCTGGCAATGCTCTTCTTAATGCACCCTAATATGCTATTAGGCTTCTTGGCTACAAGGGTTGACTCATATCCAGTTCTCATCCACTGTAATCTCCAGGTCCTTTTCTGCTACTTAGCCAGTTGGTCCCCAGCCTGTAACAATGCTTGGGATTCTTCCATCCCAAGTGCAGGACTCTACACTTGTCCTTGTTGAACCTCATCAGATTTCTTGTGGCCCAATCCTCTAATCTATCCAGGTCACTCTGGACCCTATCCCTGTCCTCCAGTGTATCTACCTCTCCCCCTACCTTAGTGTCATCTGCAGACTTGCTGACGGTGCTATCCATCCCCTCATGAAAGTCATTAATAAAGATGTTGACCAGTGATAGGGAACCTAGGCTAATGAGAGGGCTACAAGGTTGTTTTAATAACCAAGGGTATGTCTACACTACAGCACTAATTCGAACTAACTTATTAAGCTAACTAAGCTAATTCAACGAACTAAGTTAGTTCAAATTAGCGCTGTAGTGTAGACATACCCTAACTTCCTAGTGTAGACCAGGGCTCAAAGCAGCTCCCTTAAACCACCTCACCTAGTCAGAATTCTGACTCTTATGACATTCATTAAATCTACAATCAGACAAACAATAAGAAAACTGAAACTCTTATCACACCCCAAAACTCTTCAGAAAACATCAAATTCAAGTGTCAGTAGAACTCCCATGGGTACCCCTTCCTTGAACAAACATGAGCCATTATCCTCCCCTAAGGAAGGTATGTGTCTGCCTTAGTCGGTGGTTCCCTTTGGGGATACCGCCCCAGTTGGCACCATGGAGCCAGAGCTCACCCTGGGCATGCTGCTCCAGTTTTTGGACTTGCTGCTGCAAGCCT